TGAGGGCAGAAACAATTACCTGGCCCATTACGTGAGTGCCATCAATGTCTCTGCATAATCTGATAAAGTCATTCAAATCTCCATCTCTATGGGGGCGTAAAACTTCCTGGCAGAACTTATTTGCATTTTCAAAGGCCAGATGCTTAACGACTGGCATGGCTGAATCCACATCCCCAAAAATGCGACTTCCCACCTGTAGAAGGCGGTCAATGAATTCAGAATAAGGTTCTGAAGATCCTTGAAGGATCTTAGAAAGCTGTTCTCGTGATCCTTTGTTAGGTAAAGTTTTCCAAGCTTTAACGGCTGCTGCAGCTATCTGAGCATAAATCGCAGGATCATAAGCAATCTGTGCTTCTAAGCCAGCATATTGTCCTTCACCAGTTAACATGTCAAGATTATTCTGGGGGAAGCCTGCTTCAGCATTTTTGACTGCAGTCTTTTTGCAATTCTCCTGCATCTCACCTCTCCATAACAAATAATCTCCCCCTGAAAGACAAGCCCTGCAAAGCTGCATCCAATCATTGGGTATAAGGTTGAGTTCTGCAAAGGATTCCAACAAAGCTACAGTGAAAGGAGCGTGAGCTCCATAATCCACAACTGCTTCTTTTAATTGCTTAATGTCCTTAAAGGCCAGGGGGTTATGCTGCCTGGCTCTCTGTCCCTGCTGATCAATTTTTTCCACAACAGGATAAATCTGTTTCTCAATTTGCTTCTCTCTACTTAGTTTATTTAACCTCTCCCGGATCTCTCGGATTTCTGCCTCTAAGTCTATAGGGGCAGAAGCAGTAGTACCAGGATTTTGCGGAGGAGGTCTCATGGAGACATCTCCGTTCGCTTCCTTCCTTTCCTCTTTCTCTAACTTCTTTTTTATCAGTGCGATCTCCTTTTCTAAAATTTCTTCTTCTTCTTCTATATTCTTACTAATACTACCTGTTCCTAAAACTTCCTGTTCCTCAAAACTCTTAATAGAACTTACAGTTTCTACTTCCTGAATCTCCTCAAGGGTTTTGTTTAAACATTCCAATTGCTCTTTGACTCTAACATCATCACTAAGAAGAGCATCTCTGACCAAGCGCCATAGTGAAAATATCGCCATGGGGACTTCATGTGGCCCTCGCTCTTTCAGAGCATCTTGAAGATCAGCCTTTACCTGATCCCAATCAGTAATATTAAAACCTCCTGCATGTAGGAACCAGGGACTAAACTTTAAAACTGTCTTAATGGTCTCTACTGCTGTCTCAACTTTAATACCGGTGCCTCTATTTTCCAAAAGACCTAACAACTGGCCTGTTAACCGGCCCTCCAACACAGGAACAGAATAACTTGCACCCATAACCAATTCACCCTCGCCGCACAATTTCTTACGTTGCTGGCCAGTCTTCCCGAGGGCGACCTCTCAGGGATTCCCTACTTCCCGATCTCACAGATGGGTCTAGTTGCCGAAGATGATCCCAGCGGGGCCTCCAATTGTAACACCCGGTTTTGGTGTTACACCCTCGGTACAGTTAGCACACAGCTCTACCGAATGCGAGTCCAGGCAAGGACCTGGAGATTGAACACAAGACACAGAGACCAGGGTCATTCGATAGGAGATCAAGCAAATGCCCTTTATTCAGACTTGGGGGAGTCCTTATCTACCTAACTGCAGCACAAAGATCTCTCCACCCAGGCAGGTGGGAAATTTACCTTATTAACAATGGAGAAGATTCCCTGTAGCTAATCATCCAGGCAGGGCAGGGATAGCACTGGAACACACAGGAATCTTAGTTAACTGATTATAAACTGTCCCTGCCAATGCTCCCCAGGAATAAGGGAGACCAGGGGCCCACACTAGAAAACAATACAAAGAATCAATGAAACAACAAGTTGGTTCTTTTAGGAAATTAATGAGATAGACAAAACCTTATCCTAATTAAATTAAAGGCAGAGAGCAAATATACAAATTAATAAAATCAGAAATGAATAGGGGAACAGAACACAGACACCAAGGAAATTCAAAGAATCATCAGGTCATACTTTGAAAAATATACTCTACAATATTAGAAAGTATAAAAGAAATAGACACATATCTTGATAGATACCACTTAGCAAACTTAAATCAAGACAAGATAAACAATTTAAATTATAATACCTAAGGAGATAGAGGTAGTCATTAAAAATCTCCCAATAAAAAAACAAATGAACAAACAAACAATAAAAAACAAGACCAAAGAGTTTTAATACAGAATTCTACCAGAATTTTAGAGAAGAATAAATACCAATTATTATTCTTTTAAAGTGGGTGTGTGTGTAGACAAACACAGGACAGACAAAACACGCACGAAAGGAGAAGACACAGACATGCGGCTCCCATGTGGGTGCACTTTAATGGGGGGGCACGATAAGGGACAGGTGTGCAAGACACACAAGGGTAAAGGGCAAGAGAGCAAGACCTCGTGGAAGCTCACTTTTTAACGAGAAGCACAAGGGTATCTGGGAGAAATGTCCTGCACCTGTGCGTGCCCGTGTGCGCAGGTGTCTGTAATCCAGGAGGAATCTGGGAGCTGTAGTTTCCAAAAGGAACAACATTCCACCCTTTTGGTTTTATTAAAAAAAAAATCAGGGGGGGGGGTCCTTAAGGGGTAGGGAATGGGGGCGTAGCCCGGTCTCTCATGACTGCTTCCTGCTGACTTTGGGCGTCAAGGGGTCCAGGGAGTGTCCGGTCATCTTGACGGTGTCCTGTTGGTCCGCTGGCATTCTGATATGGCTGATTGTCCGATGATCTTGGCGATGTCCTAATGTTATGTTCTATTCGCCGGTGTTCTGAGATGGCTGATTGAAGAAGTCACATTCTTCCAGCCTTTCCTGAATAGCTGGGTCATCGTTAAGATGCTGGAAGGCAAAAATCGCATTAGTGGAGAAAGAAATTAGGGAGAGGAGATTTGGAAGGTTTGGAAGATTAGAGGGGAAATTTGGGGGTGGGGGTGGGGGAGGAGTTCTAGGAATGAAAGAAAAAAAATTAAATGATACTTATTCCGTTACCGATCCGCTTGTGTTTTATCTGCTTAGGTGGACTGACCTGTTATGTCAAGTAACTTTGTTAAAAATCTGCTTACCGCCCGAGCCCTTGACTTCGTATTTGATGATCTGTAATGACAGCTGAATGATTATTTAGGAATTTGGAGCAGGCAGAGGATTAGGTGGTGGATGGGGTAGGGGGGCTGAGCCTGGTGTCCTTTGGAACTTGAGGGAACAGGGTCCTGTCTGGGTTACCATGTATGAAGGATTATCTTGAGCCATGGAGATAAATGGTTTAATGTGTGACAAGTGAATCCAATGAGGGATTCCTTCAAGCTTGGCAGCTGTGGGAGTTAGAAGACTTACTCTGAAAGGTCCCTGCCACTTAGGAGAAAGAGGTGGGGGGCGTTGACCTGGGGGTGAGAGTAATACCTCATCTCCTATTTTAATTTGTGGTGGACAAGCGTTAGTGCAAGGCTGAGGTAGAGAGTGATCAGCGAAGTCCCACAGAAGCGAACGTAAGTGGGAAAGGAGGGGAGTGAGCAGGTGATCAGGGAGGTGTTCCCGATGAGAGGCCGGGGGTTAAAACCGGCAGCCCATACATGAGTTCGAAAGGTGAAATAAAAAGGGGGCCCTTTGGGAGAGCCCAAAGCCTGAGAAGAGTGAGAGGCAGAAGTCTTACCCAATCGAGGTGGAGTTCCTGTGACATCTTAATGAGAGCTTCCTTTAAAGAGCGGTTAGTCTGTTCTACCTTACCTGAAGACTGAGGGTGGTACGGTATGTGGAAATTCCAGGGAATTCCGAGTGCTTTAGACAGATTTTGAGAAATCTGGGAAGTAAACTCTGGGCCGTTATCTGACTGAAGAGAAGTTGGGAGTCCAAACCGGGGAATAATCTCTCAGAAAAGAACGTCAGAGACTCTCTGGGCTCTCTTGTTAGAGGTGGGGAAGGCTTCAACCCATCCAGACATTGTATCCACCAGAACCAGGAGATATTTAATTTTCCTGACTGTGGGCATATGAGTAAAATCCAGCTGCCAGTCGGTTCCCGGGAGAGAGCCTCTGGCTTGGTGGGTAGGAAAAGGGAAGCTACGATATTTGGTCCTGGGATCTGACTTTTGGCAGATCTGACAGGAAGCAGTGGTGGCTTTTAGAAACCTGATATCCTCAGGTGTGGGTTTGATATGTGTTTTTACAAAATGAAGTAGGGCTTTTTCATTGGGATGAAAAAGCTGGTGTAGGTAGGACAGGATCTGTTGGGTGTTGGGAGGTGTCTGTGAGGCTGTGGGCTGTGCTGTAAGTACTCCCTGAGGTAGCTGAGACAGGCCTGTATTCTGGAGTGCTGCCATCTTAGCTGCTCTGTCAGCTCGGTTGTTTCCCTTGGAGACAATAGAACTGTCAGATTGATGAGACCGGCAGTGAATAATTCCTATAGCTTTAGGGAGATGAGAAGCTTTTAGTAAGTCCATAATATGCTCTGAGTTGGTAATAGATCCTCCCTTCGCCGTGAGAAGCCCGCACTTCTTCCAGATGGCAGCGTGAGACAACAGGATATGAAACGCATATTTGGAATCTGTGTAGACATTTAAAGACTGTCCCACGGCTAACTGAAAGGCTCGGGTGAGAGCTATCAGCTCAGCCTGTTGGTTAGTAGTATGAGTAGGGAGTGCCTTTACCTCAACTATCTCTGTGTCTGATACTATGGCATAACCTGCTCTGCGAGTCCCGTCACATAGAAAGGAGCTGCCGTCCGTGTACCAGGTATGAGTAGCCTGTGACAGACTGCCCTCCTGTATATGTGAGGGATGAGGTAGTAGGTCCTCTAGGACCTCAATGCAGGAATGGGATGGGGAATCATTAGCGTTAGGTTGAGGTAGAAGATTTGAGATGTTAAGGGGTGGACAGAATTGAAATGTGAGGCTTGTATCTTCCATCAGCTGAAGGGAAAGAACTCGAGAAGGGGGTAGGGTTTGTAGGCCTTTGTAGGTTAAGAGGTTGGACAGGTTATGATGAGAGAAAACCGTAGTGGATGCTCCGAAGGTTAGTTTTTTTTGACTCACGAATAAGAAGTTTAGCAGCTGCCAAAGCACGTATGCAGGGTGCCCAGCCCTGAGTGGTGAGGTCCATCTTCTTTGACAGATAAGCTACAGGTGCAAAGGAGGGTCCCAGTTGATGACCTAGGACTCCCAGAGCATAGCCCTCCTTCTCTGCTACAGAAAGAAAAAAGGGGCGAGTTAAATCCGGAAGATGGAGAGCTGGGGCTTGGGTCAGGGCCTGTTGAAGTCTCCGGAAAGGTTTGGTGATGGGTTGGAGAAGGGGCTCATGTAGGGAGCCAAGAGCTGCTTCATATAGGGGGTGGGCAAGGAGGGAGAGAGAGGGTATCCAGGAACGCAGGAAACCAGCCACTCCCAGGAATGATAAAACCTCTTCTTTGGTGGTTGAATTAGTCTTTTTCTGTCCAGAGTGATAGCCTTTTGTGTTGGGGTTATGGTTAACCCCAAATACGTTACCTGAGTGGTGGACAATTGGGCCTTAGAAGGTGAGACTCTGTAGCCCTTTTTGGATAAGAAGTTTAATAAGGCAGCAGTATCAGTCCTGCTGGTCTCCAAAGACGGGCTACATAGCAGGATGTCGTTGACATAGAGTATCAGCTTTGATTTAAGGAGAGACAGAGAGAGCAGATCAGAGGTCAGAGCCTGGCCAAAGAGGTGTGGACTGTCCCGGAATCCCTGAGGGAGGACGGTCCAGGTTAGCTGTGTAGAGAAATTAGTATCAGGATCTGTCCAGGTGAAAGCAAAGATGTTTTGAGATTGAGGGCTGAGAGGAATAGAGAAAAAGGCATCTTTGAGGTTCAAGACTTAGAAGTGGGAGGTCCCTGGAGGAATGTTAGACAGAAGGGTGAGGGGGTTGGGTACGACTGGATGCAATGGCACCACAGCAGAGTTGATGAGCCGGAGGTCCTGAACCAAATGATAAGTTCTGTTATATTTTTTGACAGCCAATATTGAAGTGTTAAAGGGGGAAGAGGTGGGACGAAGCAGCCCCTTTCTAAGAAGGTCAGAGATTATAGGTTTTAACCCTCTGAGGCTTTGGGAAGAGAGGGGGTACTGAGCTTGGGTGATGTACTCGGTGGGGTTTTTTAACTGAATAACAACAGGGGAATGGTGTTTAGCGACAGCAGGATTCTGGGTGTCCCACACGAGAGGGTCCACTTGGGAGGCTGGGAGAGGAAAAGTCATGTTAGTATCAGAAGGTCGCGGGGCCAGGAGAAGAAGCAGCTGCATCACCGACGAATCTGGAATGAAACGAGTTGGGGGCGGAAAGAAATGAAGGCTCCCAACTTGGTCAGAAGATCTCTCCCCAAGAGTGGAACTGGGCAGGTTGGTAAAACTAGGAATGAATGAGTGAGAAAAAATACCTCTAAATACGCAATTGAGAGGCGAAGTTTGGTGAGGTAAATAAGGCTGTCCTCCTACCCCGACAATAGGGGAGTTTGAGGGAGAGGTTGGGCCCCAAAATTCTCTTAGAACTGAGTATGTTGCTCCGGTGTCCAAGAGAAATGAAATGAGGCAGCCCGACAGCGTTAGAAATACCTGTGGCTCCTGGTTGCAGATGGGTGTGGCGGTCGGGTTGTCGATGGAGCCTGGGTACCTTCAATCTTCCAGGGCCAGGCCCAGCAAGTCGGCCTGGGGAACCTCTGGGCCCGTTGCCCCCACATCATCGAACGCACGAGGGCAGTCCATGGACCAGTGGCCCTCCCTGCGACATCTAGGGCAGGGGCCCTGTGGATTACCATGAGGATTGGGGCACCCCTTCACCCAGTTACCTGCCTTACCACATTTGAAACAGGGTCCGGGGGGCGGGGGAGCAGCGCGAACAGGACAGGCGGTGAAGTCCGTCACCTCGGCTGGCCGGGCGGGTGCAGTAATCACGTGGCAGTGATTCTTGGCTTTGTCGTTTCTTGCATGGTAAATTTTGAAAGCCATCTCCAGGAGCTGTGCCTGTGGAGTTAGGGAGCCCTTCTCCAAACGCCTAAGTTTTCCCCTGATGTCTGAGTAGGACTGGTTGATGAAGTGGGACATCAGGAGCTGTCTGCCCTCAGTGGATTCTGGATCCATGTTTGTGAACTGTAACATAGCTTTGGTTAGTCGGTCAAGAAATGCAGAAGGATTTTCCTTAGTATCCTGAAAAATCTCTGCGAGTTTTGAATAGTTTACTGGTTTAAGAGCAGCTTTGTGAAGTCCCACTGTGAGGCAGGTTAACAATTGGTCTCTGGCCAGAATGCCACTGGGGGAATTATAATCCCAATGGGGTTCTTGATCAACTGCCTCTGCCCCCGGAGGGTGGGAGGCCAGGGTTTGGTGTACTTCATCGGCGTACTGTCTCGCCTGTTCCCAGACTCGTCTGCGCTCCTCGGGAAGTAGGTTATTAAATAAAATTACATATACATCTTGATATGTCAGATTATAGGATTGGGTCAAATATTGAAATTCTTTTATGAAATTGGTGGGGTCAGCAGTGTATGACCCGAGCAACTTTGAGACATGAGAGAGCTCTGATAAGGCGAACGGCATGTGGACTTTTATAAGACCCTCAGCGCCGGCTACTTCCCGCAAGGTTAGAACTATAGCTGGCTTAATTTGACCAGGGTCTGTCCCCGCTGTGGCCCGAGAGAGCATAAGGGGCGGGGTGAAGGTTGGGGCCAGATGGCGGGCGGGTTTAGCACCTGAGGGCATTTTGAAAGACCGAGGGGGCAGGGTAGGGGGGGAAGGGGACACAGAGGAGTCCGAAGATGTTTCCTGCTGCCTGTGACAGAAAGACACTGTTAGCTGTTTGTGCGTCCGGTTGCGGTTGCGGGAGAAATGAGGTGAAGGTGGATAGGAGGAACTGGACAGGGAACCAGAGCTTCGGCGGGAAACCAACCAGAGCTCCTTGGGAAAAGAGACTTGGATCTGGGGAAATGTTTGCGCGGCGAGAACGAGAGGGAGATCTGCGGGTGGAACGGTTAGAGGCATCATGGGGGAAAGATTTAGGTGAGTCCTTTCAATGTCTAGAATCTGTTAAAGGAAGAGAGACAGGTGAGGTGTCACCCGGCCGGGAAGGGCGGAAAGGGGCGGTCCCATGAGGCCGGGGGGGGGGGGGGGGGGGGGGGGGGGGGGGGGGGGGGGGGGGGGGGGGGGGGGGGCGGAGGCTCGTCCGCCAGGTCCATGGCCATTGCCAGAGTGGAGGGTGCCTGCCGGGAAGACGGACCCTGCGGGGAAGACATTGCCAGGAACGTGTGGGCAGGTGAACACTGAGAAGCCATAGATGGATCAGTCTTTAGGGCCATGTAAAAGAATGCCATGATATACGTCATTTCCTTCCATTTGGCTGAGCAATGACAAAAACTGGCTAACTCACGTAAGACATCGGGGTCAAATGAGCCCTGAGAAGGCCAGCAGAGATCACCCTGTAATTTATAATGGGGCCAAGTCTTGGAGCAGAGACGCGTGAGCTTGGTCAGTTTGATGGAGGGGATCAAAGCATGAGGCTTTAGAGATTCCAGGAGCTGACCAAGAGGGGAAGTAGGGGGTATAGTCTTGGATGGCCTAGCACCCATGGAAAATTGTGGAGCTGACCACCGGAGGCACACAGAGGTGCCACGCGCACAGCAGTTCCGGTTACAGGCGTCCGTGTAATCGGAAGGCCGTGCTATGGGCGAAACCGGCCGAGTCCAGCTACCGCCGGGAAACAGACCCGGCTGGGAGGAGACAGTTACGCCCTTTGGGGCTGACCGTACAGCCAAAGGTGCTTGCTCCGTTAGCAAGCCCACACGTGAAGCAGAAAAGGCAGGAAGGAAGAAAGAAGGAAGAAAGCTGGGAATACCAAATTCCCAGGGAGAAAAGCTGGGAATACCAAATTCCCAGTGGCAGGCAGAACCAAATTTAGCCAAGGGTACAAGGCTGGGAGAAGGAAAAAAGGAGGGGTGAGCAACTCAACCCAGGACGCGCCAGAGAAAGCCGGCCGGACATTCTCTAGGCATAACGGGAAAGAGGAGGCAGTGGGGTAAACTCACGAATTAGTTGGTGTCGGTCGGAGATGGCCGTGGTGAGCAGTTGGTCTCGGTTCTGACTTTGTGTCCGGCTGTGAGGCCCCGGACTCTGGGAGGCGCCAGAAGCCCGGAGCCCAGGCCTCGGGTGGAGAATCTGGCACGAAGAAGTCCCCGAGTCGGTTACGCATGGCACCAAAATATTATTCTTTTAAAGCGGGTGTGTGTGTAGACAAACACAGGACAGACAAAACACGCACGAAAGGAGAAGACACAGACACGCGGCTCCCACGTGGGTACACTTTAGTGGGGGGGACACGATAAGGGACAGGTGTGCAAGACACACAAGGGTAAAGGGCAAGAGAGCGAGACCTCGTGGAAGCTCACTTTTTACTGAGAAGCGCAAGGGTATCTGGGAGAAATGTCCTGCATCTGTGCGCTCCCGCGCACGCAGGTGTCTGTAATCCAGGAGGAATCTGGGAGCTGTAGTTTCCAAAAGGAACAACACCAATACCCCCAAAATTATTTTATACAATAGAAACATAATGGATACTGCCAAATTGATTTTATGAGGCCACATGTACCCTGATACCCAAACCACACAAAGACTCAAAAAAAAAAGACATAATATATATTATATATGTATATAAAACATAGAATTATTACTACTAAAACATTTATATTGATAAATATTAGAATATACTTCATAATTTATTTACTCATTCAATCTTTATTTTCAGACAATTTCATGTATCTCAGGCTGGCCTTGAACTCACTATTCACCTGAGACTGACCTTGAATATCTGATCTTCCAGATAGCATTTTTTGGCATGATGAGATGACAGGCAAACACCATGCCCAACTCCCACTAACTCATTCTGAGATGAAGTTACAGATACTGAGCCATTTTTAAAACACAGTTTTAGGAAAAATTCCAGTCACGGAAGTGAATTATTCAGCCATGCAATACATGGTGGCATATTTAGATCAATTCTATGGCCTTGTAGATTATTATTATGGTGACTGTGAATTATTAATTAAACATATGCATCTATACCCATCAATCTTTATTCATTAAGTTTTCTAGTCTTAGTTATTTTCTGAAGGCTATCGCCTCTCTGTTCTCAACTCTGTATATATTTAAACTAAAGCCCCTTTCATTGGAATCCACTGGTCAAAGACTGCATGTTCAGGTCATTGAGATACAGAGGTGTATAGAGTTAGAATAAATTTGTTGTGGTAGAGGACACATTTCTCATTCCAAGAACTGACTTGAATTTTAATCCCATAACATGAAAGGCTGATTTCTCAGTGATTCATAAAACATTTGGAGATGTGTTTTTTTCAATTTTAAACTTTTGGCCATTTTGAGATTTAAGCAGTTCCCAGATTGTCAGATTTACTGACAAAATTTCTGCCTAGAGGGGAATCAATAAAGGCTGGCATCATCCATTCTTATCTGATAAATAACTGTCCTCATTTGTAATGATACATATCTCAAAGATGTGACAAGGGTATCAGATGGTAATTTAATCATCTGTACCTAAGGTATGGTCTGATGCATATTCAGTACTCCTCTCCATGACAAACAACCTCTGTTCAGTTCATTACCAAGGTTGTATTAGCCAAGAGAGGGAACATTTTCTGTTTGAAATTAATTATTGATTTTTCATTATTCGTATTTATGGGATACAATATGCATGTATTCCCTGTGCAAAACCAAATCATGGAAATTAGCACTGATGTTTCTGTAAATTAATAAGGATACCAATACTCAATCCTTGTGCCTATTTATAAAAGTTGTGGTTATGATTCAATGAGCACAGACAGTGTGAGTTTGTCTACTTGGGATAATTACTGTTTTATTTTCACAACAAGTTTTTACTTCTGGAGGTTTTGTGTTCATTCTTTTCTTTTTTTTAATTAATTAATTTATTTATTTATTAAAGATTTCTGTCTCTTCCCCACCACCGCCTCCCCTTTCCCTCCCCCTCCCCCAATGTGTTCATTCTTTTCAAACAGATGACAGACAAGGAGCTGTGACCTGATATTGTAGAAAAACAGAACCTACCTCCCTACAAATGCGGCTGTTCAGTCTCTCTGGCTCCTGGGTGAGTAGATGTTTTGAATCATCATCCTCACAAAGAGACTTTCACTTAGTTTATGTAATGTTCTGTGCTGACGGCTTTGCTGAACTCTGTGCCTTTTCTCTTCTCTATCAAGGATTTTCTGCCACAGCCCCATGGTTAAACGCCTGCACTTTACATGCATCACTCTGCTCTAACGGGACATTCAGACTTTCCCAGCACCCTTCCAGTGAACCACAATAACTCCTGAATAATATGTTTTTTCTTAATCACTGAGTTTCACTTCCATTGCTCCCAAAGCACAGAGTTCTCTAACATAGCCTTGGTTCTTAACTCTACTTATCCCTCTACCCTAAGTGCTGTAGCTCGGAAAGCTGTCTCAGAATGGATTTAAGGTCTTCCAGCACCTGCTGAACAATGTGTGATCAGGATGAGGAAACTGGGGAGGACAGTGGGCATCATCATTTTCTGTTCCTTTTGATCTGTGTTTCATAAATTAGCCAATTGTTGCATAACTGAATACATTCATATAAATAACATGTTGTTAAGTCTGGAATGTCCAAGGGTGAGAAGCTAGATGCATTGCTGGAGATGTCTTTGTTGGTGAGGACTTTACAGTCCTAATAGTGGCATAGGGTGCCATATGTAAGAAATAGAGAAAAATATGAGACATCTAATAAGTCATTCATTAATTCATGAATTTATTGATTCATTGATGAGTGTAAAGTCCTCCTTATTTAAACAACTCTTTAAGCTTCCCTTCTTAATAGTTAGTGGGAACATTTACATCATAGCCACCAAACATTTGAGCATTAAAAATTCTCTCTCTCTCTCTCTCTCTCTCTCTCTCTCTCTCTCTCTCTCTCTCCCTCCCTCATTCTCTCCCTCTTTGTCAATCTATATATCTATCTCTCTCTTTATCTCTCATTTCTGCCCATCTGTTGATATTTTCTGTTTTTTTTTCTTTCTTTATATCTCTTATCACTTTTCTTGCTGCCTCTCCAAACACATTATCAGCATTGTTCTTTCTTTACAAACTCGCTGTGCAAACATAAAAAAATGCTTAACCATTGTGCTTTTCAACATATAGAAGTTTTCTATGGTTGCTGACATGTTGTTTTGAAATTTATTTGGAAATGTAGATAAAATAATACCTGAAATTTCTCAACATATTTTAAAAACCATTTATCATCTACTATTGTTAAAAGATTATTTTTTGTTGGAAAAGAGAACCCACTGAACATAGAACAACTCCAATACTCCCCAGAACACACTCACCACTACAGTAGAAATATTTCATTGTTAGTGAAGGAATAGAGCAAAGCTTTTTGTTGCAGACTTGTTTGTGTCTTTGAAGGTCATGAGAGGATAAATCCAGTTCACTGCCTTGATACTTGAACATGAATGCTCATTTGTCATCTCAAGGTATAGTCCATTATTCCACGTGATACTAGCAATTCCTTTTCCTCAATGAGGAAACTACGAACTCAGTAAGGTTATCCAGCATACGTCATCCCAGAGAGCATTTAGGCTTAGACAGTCTAATTGGAAACTGCTCTTTCTTGATCTCATGATGCCCTTTTTAAAAGAAACATTGTTTGGAACATTGGCTTTTTACTTAGCTATCTAATTTTATTTCTTTCTCTGTGTGTATATTTCATACATTAAACATAGGTAGAGATTATGTCTCATATTTTAGTATTCTTTATGGGAATCGGAGAGATAAGATTATAATGATCTTTGAATACTGCAATTATTGTTCCATAGCTTTAAAAACAAGGGGCATTTTCAAGCATATCGTAGCAATGGATGCATGTGTTGTATATGAAATATAAAAGATAAGCCTTCACAAGGCAGTCTGGATCAGCAAACAGATGTTAACTGGGAAAAACATCTACTTACATACTCATTTACCAAATCTGTATGCATCAACAAATGCTCTGAATTTAGAAAAAACAAAGCAGTTTCACGTGTTTGATTTGACTAAACCCTGCTTCCCTTTAAAAACTGAAAGTCTTAGCTTTTCTGGCTTGCATTCAGGGATAAAATGCTTCTAAAATGTTTCATGGCCAGCCTTGCCCTGGGCCTCTCTGTTGAAACGAGGAACAAGAGCTCTCAGGACACCTGGCAGATGTTCACTGTTCCTTCCAGTTCAAGCCTCACTTTTCTTTGTGTCGTAGGGACAGAGTAAAAGATAAAGAAGAGTCATGCTTTTATTTCTTAATCAAGGAAGGTAGAAAGCTGTTGGTGTTTTGGATGCAGAAAATGGGGGGAAATACCATTTTTGTGTATATATCAGGTCAACCATTCTAGAGACTTACTAGAAAAAAAAATAAGTTTTAGCAACATTTTTAATATGTATGTTAGAACTGAGATTTATTATGACTTGTATATTTATCAAAATTTCCACACATTACAGAAAAATTGAGGTTATGACAATATAGAAGGCTTTCTGGAAGAATTGAATTTGAAGTCAAAAGTGAAAAACAAATGGTGGATTTTAGTATTAAATTATCATATTTTAAGCAAGTACTTAAAAATATTTAACAGGATAGATTATTATTTTTCCACAATCAATAGCAGACTGATACAAAGTAAAAATATTGAAAACATCTGAGCAAAGTAGAATACAGACACTTTTTGTGGTCAGCTTTGCTGTTTCTGTGATGGCTGACCCAGTTTACTTAGAAAGGTGAGCCATGATAGCCTTGCAGGAAAAAAAATAAGGTATTTTCCCACCTTTTAGTCAATGAACTAATAAATTATTGTCAATAGAAATAATTGCAAAATTATTATTAACTGAAACAGCCAATTACTGCACACCATTACTCTGCAATATGGCACTGTGGTTATTTATTATCTTGACATAGAGCAATGTGCTGCCAAGTTGGCCATGTCTAGGGTGCAGGGAAATATAGGTGGAGTGTTTTAAATGGGGAAGGGCCCAGGAGCCAGCATGAATAGAGCCACATCCATGAGTGCACTCCTTGGGTGTTACCACAGGTCAAAGAAAACTATGACATCATAACTCTTTGTTCTGGGAATGCATTTTCATGTTAGCATGGTTTTCATCTTACAAAAGCAGTACAAAGACAGTGCAGAGGTGCCATTCAGGTGCCACCTGGAGTGACTTCCCATTGTAACTCGGTGTCTTGGACTGAATTTGTCACACAGAATGAGTCAATCTGTCACATCGTGAAATAAAAATCCACATTTTAGATTTTACACACAGCTCTTTTGCTTTTTACAGGTGACAGTGTAGATGTAGCCTT